GTGCCCTCCGGCTTTGCCATAACCCCGCCGGCCCCCGGGGAGCGGGGGGGGGGTTTGGGGGAGGGGGAAATCCCAATTTCTATGACAATTCGCCACCTCGGGAGCTTGGCTGCGGGGCAGATCCACATCTACAGATTTATAAGGAATATCGGTGAATTGGAAGGATTTCTCCGCCTTTGAAGCTTCGGGGGGAAGGAGATAGAGCAATCGTGAGAATAGGGAAGCTCATTTAGATTCCTATGTCCTGGAGAAGAATTAATTGTCTGCTGGAGAAAAGCAGGCCGGCGCCGGGATTTTAGGGAATGCTGCTGCTGACTGTCTTCCTGCGTACGGGGAGACCTTCCCCCTTTCCCCCCCGCCTTTTTTTTCCCCCCTCTTTTCTTTCCCCCGAAACATCCTTGACACCTTTGCTAATGCCATTTTTTCCAGCCAGGAAACGAGCCGGGAATTTCAGCCCGCAGAAACTCCGTTACCATTAAGTTCCTGTAAGCGCCGGAGGATTCGGGAGGCTCCGGTTCCGCTTGATTTTAGGAAATACGATTTTTTTAGGGGGGGCTTTTTTTTTTTTTTTTTTTTTTTTAATGCACTCTATCTCCCCCTGACCGGTGTGCGGGGCAATCCCGTGGCGTGGGCTCCGTGCCCACGGCCTGGCGTGGCCGGAGCCGCTGCCGAGCAGCAGCAGAATAAGCAGAATATCCTCTCCAGGGCTGGAAAATGCGATTTAAAGCCCTCCGTGCGCGGGTCTCGGGGCCGGGATGTTGTTTCGCTGCGATCGTTTCGCTCTGATTTTTTAATTTTGGTTTTATATTTTTACGGCCGGGGAGAGCTGTCCCCTATTCGTGTGGCGGCTCTTCTTCCCTCCTCCACACTTTAAAACAAAGAGGGTGTTACTTACAGCGGTGCTCCCGAGGTGAAGCTCCTCACGGCAATTATCAGGACACGGGCTGCTCTTCCCTTTCCCCATTCATTCCAAGTGGATCTCATTCTAGGAGATAAAATCAACCTGTCCCTTAACAAAGGCTTTGTGCGGGCTCCGCTAATCCGGGCCGAGCGGCAAGGTGCAGCCCAGCTCCGTTTGTTTATTTGCGGGCTGGAGGGAAGGGAAAACAATGTCTCGCATCTTTGGCTCCATCAAACAATAAATTGATCCACTTGTCGGCCGCTCCCGGAGCCGCGGAGCGGGAATGGGAATGGAGACGGGCTCGGTGCGGATAGGGAGGGGAGGGAGAGCGGCTGCCCAGAGCCCTTTCCTACATTTCTCCCTGTGACATGTGTTATTATTATACCCGGTGATCCCACACCGTGTTACACGCGGGGCGTGCGTGGGATCCCGCTCGGCGGCGAAGGGAGCGGAGCTTGGGCTCCGCTGGCTCAGGGCAGAGGGGGAGCCCCGCCGCCGTGCGGGGAGCGGGGCCCTCGGGCCGCGGCCGGGAGGAGGAAGGCGAGGACATGGCTTTAAACCGGCCCCACGGGCCGCCCGTGGCGTGGCGAGAGCCCGCCGGCACTGGCGGCGGCCGGACCCACGCGTGACCGCGGGCAGCTGCTCGGGAGGCCTCATCCCCTCCTACCCCCGGGGACTGTCCCTTCCCCGGTTCTAGAAAATAGAAAAGCCAGCCTTAACCCTGCGGGCGAGGGAGCCACGCGCGAATCGGTCCCCGTGGGCAGAGCCACTTGTCCCCGAGGGGCTCAGCCCTGCCACTTGTCCCCGAGGGCCGCCGCTCAGCCCCGCCACTCGCGCCGCTGCCTCCGGAGGGTCGGGGCAGGAGGTCCCCAGCCCCCCCGGCCTTGTCACCGCCTGTCGCAGTGCTGGAGCATCCCCGCCACGCGTGGGAGCAGCCGGGGGGCGCGGGGGGCTCGGGGCGGGCGCCCCGGGGGTGCTAAGGGGGGACAAGGCGCCGTGGCTGCCGGGGACGCCCCCCCGGCTCTGTCGCGACAGCGGCGGCGCTGCCGTCGGGTTTGCGCCCCACGCAGCGCGACCCCGCTGCGGGGCAGGGTCCCGGCCCCCGACCCCTCCTGACGTCAAGGGGCCAGCGCGGCTCTGACGTCACACCCCCGCCGGTGGCGTCACGGTGTCCCGGGCCGTCCCCGCGGTGCGCAGCGAGGTCCGCTTTTGGGGAGGGGGCCGCGACCCCTGGGGCTGTGCCCGGCCTCCTCCCGCGGGCCCCAGGGCTCTGCGGGGCGCTCTGCCCGTGCCGTGGCCTCAGGTTCGGGTGTGGGAGTGCTTATCGTCACCATCATTATTATTATTAATATTATTACTATTATTATTATTATTATTATTATTATTATTATTATTACGACCAAGCGCTGGCAGCCCCGCGGCTCCCGGCCCTCGCTGGCTGCCCCGGGGATGCTCTGCCCTCCTCCCCTCCCCGGGCTTGGCTTCTCTCGGGGTTCTCCGTCCCGCCGCTATCGCGATTATCGCCGCTCTCCCCGCTCTTTTTTTTTCCCCTGGGCGGAATGAAACCCCACCCGAGCCGGGGGGCCGCCTGAATCCATCGGTAACTCCAGGATTCAGTGGGAATTGGCGGTACCGGGGCAGAGGAGCGGGCGGGGGCCGGCCCGAAGGGGTTCCCTCGATATCGAGGAGGACTCCGCAATGGATGAAGAGATAGCCATTGAGTGCGGTTGAATACCATGACAACTAGGAACAACCTCAGATTTATTCCCAACAGTTAGGGCGCGCTGAAAGAGGGCGTCAATCACGTATTATTTCGCCACTGAAATAAATGCAAAAACTGCGCCGAGACAAAGGGTTCCAACAGGAGCCGGACATTTGTCTACATTGCGGACATTGTCCCCAGCTTAGCCGTCGGGTTGTATTTGTGTTTGCGCGGGGCCGACCACCCAGGATGCGCGCTGGGGCTCGCTTAAAAAAAAAAAAAAAAAAAAAAAGGAAAAAAAAAGGAAAAAAAAAAATCCCTGGGCATTGTCAGCCACATCACATACTTTATGGGAGGCAGGCTGGGGGCTGGGGCAGGAAAAGTGGGGGGAGCGGCGAGGGAGAGGATGGGAAGGTGCGAATCCATTGATGGGCGCGGAGGAGGAAGCCTGAGGCGGCGTCTGCCCAGCGCGGCCGGCGGCGTTGCGGCTCCTTCCCCCCAGGAAGGGAAACTCGGGCAACTTTTCCTGTCCAGAAATGAGGGGGATGGGGGGAGCCCCTTCCCAGATTGTCCAAAGCCCCTGCCCCGCATCGCCCCGCACATCCCCATCACCCCAGCCCGGTCCGGCCCGGGCGGGGCTCGGGAAAGGAAAAGGGATGGAAAATAAGAGAAAAGGAAAAATAATGGGAAAAGGAAAGGGAGGGAAGGAAGGAAGGAAGGAAGGAAGGAAGGAGGAAGGAAAAGGGAAGGGGAAAGGGAAGGGAAAGGGAAGGGGAAAGGGAAAACGATCCTGGCCCTGCCCCGTAAGGGTGTGCACGGCCAATGCTCCTCGGCAGGTGCAGAGAACAGGAGGAAGGAAATGAAAAGAAAGGGAATGAAAACAAAAGTTGATGGCAGGCAGAGAGAAGTAGGGGGGGTCTCTGCATCCCGCGCCGGGCAGGGCGAGCCCCCAGGGCCGCTCCGCGGGGCCGGAGCCGAGTGCTGCTGTGTGCGAGCGTGGTGACACCTGGGGTGCCGGAAAGAACCCCTTCTTTGCCCCTGTCCCTCCTTCCCCTAGTCCTGAAAAAGAAAGAAAGGGAAAAAAAAAAAAAAAAAGATGGGAAAGGAAAAAAAAAATCAGTCGTGTATGAGTCCATCGGGCTGCAGCCCATCGAATGATCCCAACGGGCTGGATTCATTCCCCTGGAAGAAGGTGGCAAAATCAATGAGACCTCTTCAAATAAGCACACACTGCCCCCCTCCCCAATAATCACCTCCCGGATCTCGTCGGGTCGCGCCTGACGATCGCGTTTTGCCAGTTCGCTTAATTTCGGAGCAAACTAGAATCAATTACTCGCTGTTTAATTTTCAGCGCTCATCCCTAAGCCCCAACCAAAATATTGACCTAGGCGGGTTAGATAAGTTGGGCTCTTGCCATCTGAGCCGCTTCGGTCCCGAGCGGGGCCGGCAGGCTGAGCGGCTGTGGGAACAGTCCCCCCTCGCAAATTATTAATATTATTATTATTATTATTTTATTTTTTTGTCCTCTCGCGCGGAGAAAAACACGGGTGGAAAAAACACACTTTGGAGCGTCCGGAGCGTCGGGCTGGTACGGAGCTCTTTGTATGTAAATAGTGCCCTTAAAAAGAGCTGGGAAGTCGCCCCCTCCCTCCCTCTCTCCCTCCCTCCCTCCTTCCTTCCTTCCTTCCTTCCTTCCTTCCTTCCTTCCTTCCTCCCGCGCCGGTAATTAACTGACACGTTATACCACTCATCACCAATGGTGGAAGCTCGGAGCTCGCCCAAAACCCGCAATTTCACATCTGCAAACACTGTCTTCATCCACTTGACTTCCAAGACCCGCCCACACGTGGCCAACCTTTCCTGGGTTTAATGTAGGTTTTTTTTCTCCCTCCTCTCGGCAGGTTCATGTGTGGGGACCAGCCTTATATGGACTCCTCGCTCCAGCAATGGCTCGGGATTTTCCAGCGGCAGGCGCGGGTTCGGCGCGGCTGAACAAGATCCAGAAGTGATCTTTTTTTACTTTTTTTTTTTTTTTTTTTTTTTTTTTTTTTTTTTTTTTTTTGTCTCTTCCCCCTTTTTCCCTGGAGTTACAAACTATTCCCGAAACCAGCTGCTGCTCCCGCTCTCGGAATTTTCCCCCGTGGCAGAACAACCACCACCGCAGAGACCCGTCGCTGCGGCCGCTTCTCCCGCAAAACCCCCGCCGCTTATTTTTCTATAAATCCATATTGTTATTCTATTTTTTTTTCCCCTTCTCCACGCGTGCCGTGCCCCCCCTCCCTCCCCGTGTCCCTGCGCAGTGTCGCTGTCGCCGCTCGGCGTGTGCGTGCCCAGCCGTGACCCGGCGGCTCGGCCAAGCTGCGGCTCCAACTTTCCCAGGCGGAATTTGGCCGGAACATGTCTCTGACCAACACAAAGACGGGCTTCTCGGTGAAGGACATTTTGGACCTCCCCGACACCAACGATGAGGACGGCTCAGCGGAGGGCGGCGAGGAGGAGAGCGAGGCGCCCGAGCCGCCCAGGAAAGCGGGAGTTTTGGGACAAACCCCCTTGGACACTGTTCCGACGCTGCCTTTGAAGAGTCCTTTCTATGATAACAGCGATAATCCCTACACGCGCTGGCTGGCGAGCGCCGAGGGCATCCAGTACTCCCGTGAGTGGCAGGGGGACGGGGCAGCGGGGACCGGGGGTCTGCCTCTCTTCAGGGCCGGCCTCTATCCCGCCACGGCCGGGCGGGAGGGATGCGGGGGCGGCGGGAGGGAAGCGGGGGGCTGCGGAGGGGCTCTCCCCGGCCCGTCCCCCTCCGCTGACCGGGCACGGCTTGTCCGCAGTGCACGGGCTGGCGGCCGGCGGCGGCGGCCAGGACCCCTCGGCCAAATCCCCGGAGCCGTCGGCAGACGAGTCGCCCGACAACGAGAAGGAAGCGGTGGGCGGCGGGGACGCGGGCAAGAAGAGGAAGAGGAGGGTGCTCTTCTCCAAGGCGCAGACCTACGAGCTGGAGCGGCGGTTCCGGCAGCAGCGGTACCTGTCGGCGCCGGAGCGGGAGCACCTGGCCAGCCTGATCCGCCTCACCCCCACGCAGGTGAAGATCTGGTTCCAGAACCACCGCTACAAGATGAAGCGGGCGCGGGCCGAGAAAGGTATGGAAGTGACTCCTCTTCCCTCGCCGCGGCGGGTGGCCGTGCCGGTGCTAGTCAGGGACGGCAAGCCCTGCCACACGCTCAAAGCCCAGGACTTGGCAGCCGCGACGTTCCAGGCGGGCATCCCGTTCTCGGCGTACAGCGCGCAGTCCCTGCAGCAGCACATGCAGTACAACGCGCAGTACAGCGCGGCCGGCAGCCCCCAGTACCCCACAGCGCACCACTTGGTACAGGCGCAGCAATGGACTTGGTGAGGGCTGCGGGCCCCCAGCACACGCCCCGAAAACGGAGGAAAACACAGAATTAACAGGCACAAACCGAGAGAGAGAGAGAGAGAGGAAAGGAGACAGACTGATGCTCCAAAAATTTAAAAAAAAAAAAAAAAATCGAAACTGCGGGGGAAGGAATGGCGAGGGAAACGCTATTATTATTATTATTATTGCTATTATTATTATTATTATTGCTATTATTATTATTATTATGGGTTCTTTCCCTCTGCCGTTTCTTTTCCCCTCCATTTTTTTTGGGGGGTTCGGTTTCATTTCGGGGGGAGGCGGGGGGTAAGGGAAGGGAGGTGTTTTTTGTGCGTCATTGTTTACAGAAAATTTTTGCGCCATTCAGAGTGGTCCTGTCTACCTACAAATAAAATAAAGGAGGAAAAGGGGAGGGGGGGAGATCGTCAGAATTACAAAAAAAAAAATTAAAAAAAAAGGAAAAAAATAAAGAATAAAATCCCCCCGCTGCTCCTGTGATTTTGTGAGGAACGGGGGTGCGGCCGCCGCGCGGGCACCCCAAAAAGGGAGCTCCGGCGCTGTCCTTCGAGCGCAGTTTGCGGCCCCGACAGCTGCTAGCCGGGGTGTTTTTGCACCTTGTCGCTGTCGTTGTCGCTGCCGTGGGCCGCGGCCGGGGTGCTCCGTTCGCTCTCTCTCCCATTTGGGGGTGGCCTTAACCATTCCCGAGCGGAGGAAAAAGCCCCGCGGACGCTGAAACCCTCTCGGCCCGGAGAGCGGCCCCTTGGGCACCCTGGCCTCCCCGCCATTTAATACGAATTTTGTTTCGAGGGAAAATAGTAGAGAAGGAACCAATAACAACGACGGAAAGTCGCGGCCTTGGCCGCCGCCCCGCATCCCCCGACCCATCCCTGCCTGGGGCCGGCCGGGGTGACACGGCCGAGCGGGGCCCCACGCTCCCCCCTCCACCCGCCGTGCTTCTTTTTTAGGGAAAAAAAATCGCTTTTTTTTTTTTTTTTTTTGGTGAGGCAAGCCGTCTTCATCCGCCGGCGAAAAACCGGAGCGGGGAGAATTTATATTTTCCTTTTTTTCTGTTTGTGTGTGCGCTTTGCTGCTCCTCAGCGCTGCGGAGATTTGGGGGCTGGCATCGCCCCTGTGCCCCCTGCCCGGGCTGGAGCCCCTGCGCGAGGCAGGGAGAGCAAAACTTCGGGGTCAGCCCGCGGGGGAAAGGGTTAACACAGGAAGACCCCCCCCAAAAACTCGGAGGAGGAGGGAGAAGAGACAAGAGGGAGGCAAGGCGGGGCCGGGCGGCTCTGCCGGGCTGCAGCGGGGACCGGGACCGAGCCCGGCCCGGGGCGGGTTGCGGCAGAGCAGCGGCTCTCTCGCCCGCCCCTGCGGCTTTCAGGCTGCTAAAGATGCTTCAAGAAACGAAAACAAATCCAAACAGGCTTTTGTCAGGAGCCGCGGGGCCGGTGCAGCGCCCGCCCCGTCCCGCGGGGCTGAGCCCGGCCAGGACGGGGCAGTTCAACGCCAAAGAGACGATCGGTACCGGCCCCGCAGCATCCCAATCCTGCAAAATCCCGGCTCTCCAACATCCCGGCCCGCAGCCCCGCCGATCCCGGCGCTCCCCTCCGCCCCAGCGCATCCTGCGCCGGCCTCGGGTCCCCGCGCAGCCTCCGCGCCGCCGCTGGGCTTTTTTATCTTTTTTGCGTATTTTTCCTCCCCTCTTTTCCCATCCCTGCTTCCCGCGCCTCCTATCCCCAAGCCAGGGGCTCCGCGCAGGGCGGAGCAGCCGCGGCCGTTCCGCGGGGCCGCCAAACCCCGGGAGCTCCGCTGCTGTCCCAGACCCGAGGGGACACAGGGACGAGAGCCGGTTTTCCCTTCTCCAAGCCCGGCGTGCGAGCCAGGAGCGGACAGACGGAAAATGCCACTTTTTTCTCCTTATTTAATTTTTTTTCATTAAAAAAATTTCCCCATTTCCCCCCCTTTTTTCTTTTTTTTTTTCTTTTGTTTTGTGTTTTGTTTTTGGGTTTTTTGGGGTTAGTTTTTTTTTTTTTTTGTGGTTTGTTTTTGGGGTTTTTTGGGGTGGTTTTTTTTTTTTTTGTTTTGTGTTTTGTTTTTGGGTTTTTTGGGGTTGGTTTTTTTTTGGTTTTTTTTCTCTCTCTTTCCCCTCGGGCTGTGCCGAGTCTATCAAACCAGTTGTGTGGCCCTAACCTCCGTGGCCTTATATCTGCCGTGCTGCCGGGCCAGTCTATCTTTGCACAATATACAGTAGACTTCAGAGAGCAGCACAATGGGGGAGGCAGGGAGGTGAGCATGTTAGAGGCGTGCATATTAACGAGCCGCAGCCAAGGAAGCCAAAGGAGCCGGCGAAAAACCGGGAGAGACGGTGCGGGAGGAGGGGGACGCCCTCCCTGCGCCTCGCCTGCCTCGGCCTTGGCTGTTTTTGGGGCTCGGCATTGATGCGGAGCGCGGAGTCAGGGAGCGGTGTCCTCCGCGTTTTGTTCGGGCTGTCACTCGCGCTCATTGTTCGGCATGTTCTACATGTTGTATCCCATATGGCCAGCTGGGCCGGGGACCCCTCACAAAACCCAAATTGTGCCCGGCTTTCAAACCCAGCATTGTTGTCTGTGAAAGGCAGGCGAATTAAAAATTCGTGCTATATCTATTCTGGAAAAAAAAAAAAAAAAAAAAAAAAAAAAAAAAAAGAAAAAAAAAAAAAGAGGGGGCGCAAAGAAAAAGAATCCCGCTCTCTGCTCCCTCTTTGAAGGCCAACAGAGACTCTCCTCTTCTCCCAGTGCCCGCTGACAAGTTTCTCTCTCATTTCACAGGAAACCCCCCCCCTCCAAAAGCCCCCAGCGCGTCCCCTCGCAGGAGCCCGCGGAGCCGCGCTGCGCGGCCGCGCTGCGGCGCGGAGGCCGGGGCAGAACAAGGCGGCATTGAGGGCGGGCTGGGCTGCAGCTGCCGCCTCCCTGCGCGGCCCGGCCGTACCGCCAGCCCGGCTGGCACGTCCCGCTGCCTCCCGGAGAAACGGCCCTTTCTTGTCCGCGCTCCTGGCTGTGCAAGGCGGGCCGGCTGAGGGAGGAAGGGAGGGAGAAGGAGAGAGGGAGAGGGAGGGATAGAAATTTAAAAGGGGGGGGGGAATAATAAGGAAAATAAGTTGTTTAAATTTAAAAACGGGGAAGAAAAAAGAGGGGAAGGAAATAACGAAAATGGGGAAATAAATGGGGAAAGGAAGAAGTAATTTGAAAAGGAAAAACGATTAATGGAAAAAAAAGAGAAAAAGTGGGGAAAGGAAATAGAAGAATAAAAGGGAAGAGGGAAAATATAACGAAAAAAAAAGAAAATGAAGAAAAGAGGAAAAAGAAAAAAGATAACAAAACAAAATAAGAAAAAGCGAAGGAAGAAAAAAATAATCTGAGAAAGCAGAAAAAGAAAAATAACGGATGGGAAGCGAAAGAGGGGAGAAAAGAGAAAAAGCGGGGGAGAAGCCCCCAGCCCGGGCATCCCCGGCTGCCCGGGGGCGCGCAGCGCTGCGCGGGATCCTTGCGGTGCCCGGGGCTGCTCGGGGCTCGGACGAGGCTCCCCCGAGGGGGCTCCGGCCCCGGCAGCCCCGGGAGCCCCGGGAGCCCCCGGGAGCCCGGCCAGCCCCCCTCGGCCGCCAGGGCGGGGCTGGGTCGCGCCACAGCCCTCGAGTCGGGATTTGGGGCGGTGGAAGCTCAAGCTGAGCTTCGGGCCCCGCTCCGTTTCCTTTCCCCCCCGGTTTTCCCGGTTTTCTGCTGCGGCCGGACCTCCGGGACGCCCCGGTCCCCGCGGAGCCCGTCGGTGCCTTCCCCCCGTCCCTGTTGACTGTAGGGCTTAGGCGCAGCGCTGTGGGTTTTTCGGGGCTGCTCGAGGAGCCGCTCAAGGGGAAGCTAAGCCAATATTTACCGACCGCCAGGGCAATTCTCGGCGGGGTTCATTAAGGAGCCGGGGGGGCTGGAAGGGCTGCGGGGGGAGCCCCGGGGGGCGGCGCTGGGGCGGCGAGGCGAGGCGCGACCCTGGGCCGCGTTCCGGGAGCTCTGCGCCGGCTCCCCCGCAAATAACAGCCCCCAAGCTCCCCGAAAATCATCCCTGGAGGGGTTCCTTGCTTTCAGCGCGGGGCTGCGGTCGTTTTGTTTGCCGAGGGCCGCGGGGAGGCAGCAGAGCCCCGCGGAGCCCGGCGCAGGACGGGGCGGAGGCTGCGCTGCCCCTCCGCGCCCCCGGGCACGGCAGAGCGGGGGACCCCGAGGTCTCGGCGTCCCTGTCCCCAGAGACACCCCCGTCCCCAGGCCGGGATGGCCGCGCGGCGGCGCTGCTGGATAAGGGACGCGCCGTCGGGGCCGCCCCCGGGACCCCGCGGGGAGGGGACCCTCGCAGCCGCCCGGTGACACGGAGGGGAGGGACGGGCCGCGGGAGGGATGGGACAGGCCACCCTGCCTCGCCCCGCTGCAGGAGGAGCGGCCTTAGCCCTAAACCCGGGGGCATGGCTTGGAAATCCAGCGCGGAGCTCGGGGCGTGACGGGGTCTGGCCCCTGACCCTCGTGGGGGGAGGACACGGCGACAGCAGGGACTGGTGCCAGCCCTCATACTGCCCAAGCCCCAGAACCCCACCCTTGGGGCGAGCAGAGTGTCCCCAAACCCCGGGCAGGGTTTGGTGCTCAGCGCTCGGCCTTTCCACGCCGGAAGGACAAACAAACCCATGGCGAGGACAGCGGGGAATTCCGGAGAGCTGGAGAGGATGAGGCAGCACATCCACGGCTTCCTCCCGGCGCTCCCGCCCCACAGGGAGCCACAGGGACGGCGACAGCTCCCTCCCTGCACTGGGGATACTGGGGACACTGGGGACACTGGGGACACTGGGGACATTGCAGCCTGCACACCCGGAGGGAGCCAGGCACCTGGGGACAACAGGTGAGTGCCTCAGGACAGCCCTGTGCTTCTCCCTCAATGAATTTTGGGTTTCATTCAGTGCTGGCGAATTTACTGCATTTTGCACAATTAATTTACGGTAATTATGTAGAGAATCAGG